GTTTAAACTAAAATACAAACTCAGGGAGAGAGAAGTTCCAAATTATAAATTATGAAATAAATGGATTGGAAAATTCAAAAATAAATTCTTGTAAGAACAATAATTATTGTAATTTTTTTATCGTTTTAGTGAAATTCAATTTTTTTTTATTTTTATATGAGAAAAGTCGAAGCTATAAAAAAAGAATTGGAACCAATTTAAGGCATGGCTTCGTTTCTACTACAATGGCTTCTTTGCGAATGCGGAAACGAGATCTCAATGGCCTCTGAACTAATTGTTATTTTCATAAAATGTTGCCGAGAGTGCACTTGAAAGGTCCGTCGCGTAAAAAAATAATGTCATTTTCTTAAAGTCATAATAATATTTCTTATAAATATAAATATTGTCTCTAATTTTGAATTAGTAAAATTTTCATTAAATTGAATTATAGTGATTGACTTTTTGCTTTTGAATTAGTAAATTTTACTAATAACTAGTCATTTCTACTAATTTATTAGTAAAATTTACTAATTGAAAAGCAAAAATTAATTGCTAATTCAAATTAGTAAACATTTTTTACTAATTCAAAATTAGAGAGTTGGTTTTTATTTATATTTTGCCTATCAAATTTCGAAATTAAAAAAAAGGCGAAGGTGAATTTATTAGAGAAATTTTCTCTTGAGAAAAATAATTTTTTTGTTTTGTCAACCCTAGGAAATTTTTTTTATTTTATAATAAAGAAAAATTGTCAGAATCGTGTAAAAAAATGTTTTTATCCCACATGCACAAAAACGGCGCTTTCTGATAGCAGTCGACAGGGAGGAAAGTCATTCATTTCTTCGATCGTATGAAAATGGCGGCCGTGTTCTCCCAAGGGCAAGAAAATTAGCTGTTCACATGCATTTTTCTTGCCCAAGGGAGAAGACGGCCGCCATTTTCATACAAATCGAACAAGTGAATGACTTTTACTCCCTGTCGTCTGCTAACTGAAATCGCCGCTTTTGTGCATTAGGAATAAAAAATATCGTAAGTAACACGAGAATAAAGGCAGCCAATTTCTTTACGATGATTTTTGTGACACGAGTGGAGGTCTCGGGGCGCCTACGGCGCCCTCGACCTCCACTCGTGTCACAAAAATCACCGTAAAGAAATGGCTGCCTTTCTCCTCTTGTTGCTTAATATACTATTTCGAAAAAAAATTAAGGATTTTAATAGAAATTATCGTAAAAGAACAATATAGAAAATAATTGAAAATGATAGGAAATTTTTTAACATAATAGAAAATATTATTTAAAAATAATGCGAAATAATAGACAACCTAGTAAAAAAGGCAGAATTGGCAGTGAGCGAATAGAATTGGTGGTAAGTTTCTGCCTATACTTTTTCGAGTGAAAACCGTATTGGGGGCATTCTGCCATTCCTGTCCTCTGGAACCTTTCGATTTTACGTTTATTGATCGATTCGACTGTGTACTGTTAAGTCCAACGCACAATAGGTTCGCGAATGTCGTTTGCGAACGAGACGCATGAGATAGACAAGGACACAAATATATCACTGTCCTTTTCTAACTCATGTTTTGCATTCGCGAACGACTTTCGCGAACCTATTGTGCTTAGGCCTTTAATCTATTACCATCCCAGTAAAAAAAAAGTATTCAGAATAGAGAAAAAGTATTGGTGGAGACGTTCGGTGAATGCGTTTTCGCGACAAAACCGTCCCAGTAAAAAAAAACTAATTCAAATGAATTGAAACGAATTAACATTTTTGGTAGGCTCCAATTCGTATTTGTCACAAAGCGAGATTCACTCAAGCTCTTTGTATATTCAATTGAATTTAATTCAATATGTACCAATTTGTCCAAACGAATTCGCATTCGAAAGAAATGGCCAAGGAATGCATTGAATTTGTGCTAACGAATTGAAAAAAATTAAAGGCTCAAAACTTGTCCAGTGAATTGGTACGGATAGAAGGTTCGGAAGTTCAATACAGTTTCACGAATTCAGGAAAATTGCATCATGGCTCCAATTCGTATTTGTCACAAAGCGGGATTCACGAAAGCTCTTTGTGAATTCTTTTTAATTCATTTCAATTAGTTTTCGTTTACTGGGGTGTTGGTGGGTTACGGTGAATAAATTTTGCTTACCGTGAATACATTTTTTTTAAACTCTCGATTTAAAGATTCATAAGCAAAGTTGAGAATATTTATAAAGAGCGTAAGTGACCTGAAGTATAAAAATGACTGTTGCGAGAAGGAAATAAGAAATTTTGAGAAAAAACGAAAAATTAAATGTGACAAACAGATTGTCAAATGTTGATCAATTACCATATGCTTTTCTGTGCCTACAACGTACGATGATTAAAAGGAACTTTGACGTTACCGGCGGAACTTACTGTTTCACATACATTTACTTGGATTTCTCAAGTTTCTGTCGGTATCGTCAATGTTCCTTTTCATCATCATACGTTGTAGGTTTGTCACATTTAATTTTTCATTTTTTCTCAAAATTTCTTATTTCCTTCTCGCAATCGTCATTTTTATACTTCAGGTCACTTACGCTCTTTATAAATATTCTCAACTTTGCTTAGGAATCTTTAAATCGAAAGTTTAAAAAAAAAGTATTCACGGTAAGCAAAATGTATTCACCGTAACCCACCAATACGGTTTTGTCGCGAAAACGCATTCACCGAACGTCTCCACAAATACTTTTTCTCTATTCTGAATACTTTTTTTTTTACTGGGATGTGATTTAGGGAGCTTTCGACGTTCGCGCTGAGGGCGCTGTGAGTATAAGTCATACCGCTAACCCCTGTCACGCAATTTCATGCAATTTTACATGTAAAAATACATTGTGTCACGTTTAGTAGAGACCCCCTCTCTCCCCCAAAAACGTGACATCATTTGTGAACGCTCCCATCGTAATAGACCAACAGTTTGTCAAATTTCATATATTTACATTTTAACAAAATTCCATATTTCCAGTTCTTTCTTCTTCTTTATCAGCACTTTTACACTTTAAAACAATCAGTCTTTTTGATAAAAATGCCAAATCGAGTCAATAAACATGAAATCGAAAGATTCAAGAGGACAGAATTGAAGGTGAGAAAGCAGTATTGTCAGAATGACCCCAATACGGTTTTCACTCGAAAACGTATTGGCAGAAACTCACCGCCAATTCTATTCGCTCACTGAAAATTCTGCCTTTTTTACTGGGAAATAGTAGAAAATATTTTTTCAAGTAGGTTATTTGAAAATAATAGAAAGTATTTGAAATTAATAAGAAAATATAAAAAGTAGAAAATAATTGAAAATTACAGTAAATTTTTTCAATATAATGCGAAATAATAAACTAATAGTAGAAAATATTTTTTTTAAAAAATATTTGAAAGTAATGAAGAATAGTAGAAAATTATTGAAAATAATTGAAAATATTTCAAAATGATTATATTTGAAAATCAAAAATAATAGACAATAATTGAAAATGATAGGAAATAATTCGAAAATAACAGACTTTATTTTAAAATAAAGCGAAACAGTAAGAAATAGAAGAAAATTATTGAAAAATATTTGGAGAAAATAAGTGGAAATAATAGGAAATATTAGAACATAATGCGAAATTATAAAAAAAACCGTCGAAAATATCTTTTAAATTAATATTTGTAAATAATCAAAAATAGTAGAAAACATTTGAAAATAATATAAAATAATAAAAAATAATATTGAAAAAGAGTAAAAAATAATTGAAAATAGTAGAAAATTATTGAAAATATAATGGGAAATGTTTGAAAAACCGCTGCCAAGTTGTACGCATTTTTATAATTTTGGTGTTCATTTCATGAACACTTTGCTTTCTCATAGAAATAATAATAATTAAAATATAAGAATTACTTTTTATAAAAGGGTTAAAAATCATTAAATCTTGGTTCAAAAAATGTGTTTTTATACCAATAATTTGATAATTTCAGAACTAAATCAGGTTTAAAAATATGTCAATCGAAGCGTTTTTTAATGCTCTACAAGTTAGTAATGATACTTTTAAAGTTACATACTTTTACATTTTTCAACAACATTTTCAAAAAAGTATTATTTTCGAAAAATTTAGATTTGTAAAACTTTAATATCTCTGGCTAATATGGACGAAAAATGTTCGATAAAGGCTCAAAAGATGCGTCTGAAAAAACTCTACAAAACTAAAGAAAAACATTTATAGGTGTCCTAACATTTTTTTTTTAAGTTATGGCCAAAAAACGTTTTTTTACAAAATGAAAAATGCAAAAAATATAGTTAAACTGTATGAATCGGGCTGAAAATACTCTCATTTTATGTCCCCCGGGGAGACCTACAATTTAAAAAAAATTAAAGCCTTTAGCTCTTTCTCGTTCTGAGATATTGAGGCAAATGTAATGTTAGTTTATTTATAACATTTATACGGGCAGTGCCCATTCTTACATAAAGCACTAACAGATTAGGTATAATGAAAATAAGTTTATAAATATGTCAAAGAATCACAATCGAAAATTTTGCTAATACAATCCTTTCTCTATGAGGAAGCAATAATGTGAAATAATAAAAAAAATATTGAAAAAGAGTAGAAAATAATTGAAAATTATAGGAAATATTTGAAAATAATGAAAAAATGAAAAGTAACGTTATGGAAAATTGTAACAAGTGTAATAACACTTGGGGTAATATTTCTATAGTAAATATTGGTTAGTAATATTTTAATATTTTTGCACCTATATTTGTTTTATGTAAACAATTTTTTCCTTTTTTATCGAAGCTTTGACGAAATTTTAGAAAAAGAGGCGAACGTGAATTTGTTTGAAAAATTTGCCTTTTAGAAAAATACAATTTTTATTTGTCAAGGAAGAGAGGAAAGGAGCTCGGGAAGTTTTTTTTTTAATCAAATACTGAAGAAATATTTTAAGAATCGTTTCTAGTTAATTTTTATTTTTAACTAAAATTCGTGTTTTTAAATAGAAAATATCACTTGAGTAACTCTGTTTATTCTTTTTCTTTTCAGATTCGTGATGAACCTCACGGCATCGAATTTACTGACCTGCGTCCTATTGGCTGTCCTTGTCATTCTCAACGACACAACGACAGCGTATACACAAAGTCTTTGCGTAATATCCGAAGGTGGATCAGCCCTGGTGACAACATCCTCGATTCTCACTGTTCTATTCATCGCTTTAGATCAATATTTCGCTGTTGTCGATCCATTACGCTATCGAAGTCGTGTAGACAAAATAAAATGCGGCCTCTTAATTGCTACCGTGTGGATTATTGCCGCAATCTTCGCATCTCTCGCCGCATTCAATCCAAATCCACGTAGCATTTGGCAGAGTTGCGAAAAACAATCAAATTTTACTGTACAAACATTCTTTGATAATTTCACCAGTTATCTCGATATTACCGACGATGATAACGACAATGACGATGATTATAATTTTGGTAAATCACTTGAGGAACTGGAGAATACCACAGCACAATTGAGAGCTGCCTTTATGGAGAGCCCTCGTGATTATGACCCAACAATTTTGGAATTTGAATCAACATTCAGAAAAATCGAGTCAAATTTCACTTACGGTGTTGTTTATTCGATTGGTTTTGGAATATTCATCTACCTAATACCATTTCTCACAGTTTGCTGGATTTACATAAGTATTTATTCGGCAGCGAGAAAAAATTCAGAGCGCACCAGACGAACTGGTTCGAGACCAATTTTATCGTCTGGAAGTTTTTGCGAAGATTACTGTCCCATTAAACAAGAGAATAGTGCAATTGTTGTTGAGGAAATACGTAGTAAACTACCGAAAATCTCGAGTCTCTCATCAATCGATGAGAATATCGAACCTAGTCAAATGACACGTAGCAAAAGTTCGGAACTAATATCATCATCAACAATTCAGATTGAAGATGAGAAGCAAATTGTTGCAGCAGTGATATTCACCGTTGGCTCACAGGAAGTGGCAACGCAACGGAATAATGAAAGCGATAATACCAAAGATACATCCAAAGTTGCTCCTCCTATTGCCAGTCTTAAGGCCAAATTCCTCGAGGATAAAACAAATCTAATTGACGAACAATTAAAGAGTAAATTTCCCGAACTCAATGAACAGAGGAGAAAATCATCCCATGATCTCATGTACGAGGAGATGATACTTAAGAGAAAATTGAGTTGCATTAGTGATTCTTGTGAGGAGAGTAGTGAGGACGATGAGGAGATGCTCTCATTTATCACCAATAAAGAACTTAAGGTCCTGAATTCCATTCACAATACGACAAAGGAGAAACTTGACATTGAATCACAAAATAATATTTTATCATCAAATGGAGAGATTTTAATTGAGAACCGAAGATATTTGAATGTATCGAGTATTCCATTGAATGGTAAATGTAATTCAAAAATATCACTCGCCTCAGCAAATACTGAATCATCATCGACAAATTTATTATCAGCACCACAGAATACACCAATTGTCACCATAACACCACCGTATAAAGTTCCTCTTCATCGAATATCAAGTATTCGCAGTACCTCAAGTTATATTAATTCATTGAAATATAAAATTAGTAATGGTTCAATATTTAAATATCGTGAGGAGACACGAGCCGCTAGAATAAGTGCAATTGTGATAGTTATGGGATTAATATGTTGGACACCGTATGTTGTTGTATTAATAATTGGCAATTTAATCGATAGAAATTGTTTAGATTTGAAAAATTTCAATACAATTGTACTGAGTTTTCTTGTACTCGCAACATTCGTTAGTCCATTATTATTTGGCTATCGTTCAAAACGAGTGAAACGTGAATTGAGAAAATTCTTTTGTTTCCGAAAGGAATTATCGTATAAAAATAATCGAAGTTTAATGGCCAAGAAGGTACTTAAGAGAAGACATAGCGGAAATCTTAGTCAGTTTGAAATGGAGTCAAAGTATAATATTTTGAATTGCGTTTATGGAAAGACAAAGTGGCCAAAGGATAAGGTACAATTTGTGCAGGTACCGGAAACTGCACTTTCGGTTGAGACGTGTAGAAGTAGCTTTTCCAGTGGTGCAAGCACACAAATTTCGAGTACTTCGACCGATGAATGTTGATTGTACTCTTAATTTTTTCTCTCTCGAATTTTTTATTTTATTTTGAAAAATTATTTGCTAAAGTATTTTCATCCTCTTGGAAAATTATCAGGTTTGACTTTATATAAAGTCTACTCCCCCATAGTTTACTCAACTTCAAAATTTTCTCACTTAAAAGAAGTGGGAAAATACATGAATATTTCCCTGAAAGTTTATTCGAATTTTGATGTTGGTCGTGGTCGTTAAAGCATTTTTGAATTAGAATTACATCGTGTGTTCGAGTCTTCCTAAAGTTGAAATTTTTCTCGTCGCATTTTTAATTCAAAATTAAATATCTACTTAACGGAATTTTTTCTGTAGTGAATTTAAATTCATCTAAATTTAAACTTAACGGACTTTTTCCGAAACGGAATTAAAAAATTTCTTTCAATTGAATTAAAAGAATGTTGAATTTGTCATTTTTCGCAGTCGTTAAGGCATTTTCGCATAAAAACCATTTTTGCATAAAAACGTGGTGTGTTCGAGTGTCCAAGTCTTCCTAAAGTTGAAATTTTTCTTTTCCGCATTTTTTATAAACTTTTAATCCTTAATACCTTTTAATATTTAAAAACGTTTAAAAGAGATTTTTATTAAATTCGACTATTCTCTTCTATAGTGAATTAAAATAATTCCGAATTTAAATTTAACGGGCTTTTCCTGAAGCGGAATATTAAACAGTATTTTTTCCAATCGGATTTAAAGAATTTTGAATTTGTCTTAGTCTTAATCTTTAAAGCGGTTAAAAATAGAGAATTAATTTCACTTCATTTGTTCGAATCCTCCTGAAGTTAAAAATTCATTTTTCTGAATTGTTAGCGAATTTTCATACAAATTCAATTTTTTAATGATTTTTTATTTTAATTTTTAATTCTATTTTAAATGTAAATAAAATTTTCAAATCCTTAAATTAAATTAAACATTTAATTAAATTGTTATTAAATAGAATTACAATTTTATTGAAAATAGTTAAAAATATTTATAAATATTTGTAAATTAAAACAAATACTTAAAAATATATTTGAAAATGAATAGAAATTTTAATAAATAATTGAAAATAGTACAATATTATTACGGAAAATAATAGAAAATAATTGAAAAAATTAACAATATAGATAGGGTAGGGTGGGGCATTACTATTCTTGTTTGGATTTTTGAGTCTACAAAATTTATTTAAAAAAAATAAAAAAATCAGTAGGACCGTTTGAAAACTTGACTTCTTAGATACAATTTAGCCATGTATTATTTTGCTGTAACTTGATTCTATTCCGAACTACAGTGATTTTACGAAAAAAAAATTTTTTTGATGTTTAAAAAAAGAGGGGCGTAACTATTAACTATTAACTATTTATTATTAACTATTCTTGCAGCTATTAATGATATAATACTAAAAAAATATAAAAATTAATTTGTTAATTGGAGGATTTTTTCTGGTTTTTCTCTTCCAATTTCTTACCATTCTAACCTAGAAACAAGCATATAAAAAAATACACTGTTTCGTAGTTTTCGCTGTCATCAGTGGGCCATCCGCCCATTTTTTGAAAAAACACTTGTAAAATTTTTGAACAATAGAATATCAAAAATCCATTATGATATTCGTGTTCAGCACTAAATTTGACTTTAGAAATAATTTTTCCGATAATTTTTCTGACCGTTTATCACTATTTACAATTGCAGACTAAATGAGTGAAAACAAGTAACCGAGTATATCAAAATCACATTTGAGTACCTAACTCCTATGATAGATGGCGCCAGAAGCTCAAATGTGGCGTACAATGTTTATTTCACATGACAAGTATGCAGTGTAAAAAAAACTTTAATCGGATGAATAGTTTTCTCTCCAGGACTAAAGAATAGTTACGCCCCGCGAATAGTAATGTCCCACCCTGCCCTAATAGAAAATTAATAATAGGAAATATTTTTTCACAAGAAAAACAATTAAATTTCGTGGATATAAAATTTTCTTTTTTTAAATTATTGACGAAGAAATTATGGGTAAAATAAGTTAAAACAAAAAAATTAATAAAAATGTTATCAAGAAAAATATTTTTTCTTCTAAATCGTTGATTATAAAAGTTGTAAACTTCACCAACGTCAAAAATAATTGAAAATAATTGAATAACATTAACAATTAACAATATGATTGAAAATAAAAGAAATATTTTTTTATCCCACATGCAAAAAAAAGGCGCTTTTAAATAGCTGACGACAGGGAGTAAAGTCACTCATTTGTTCGACCATATGAAAATGGCGTCCATTTTCTCCCATGTGCAAACATAACCGCTGATCCCATGCGTTATTTTTGCCCAAGGGAGAAAACGGCCGCCATTTTCATATAAGTCGAACAAGTGACTGACTTTTATTCCCTGTCGTCTGCTATCTGAAATCGCCACTTTTGTGCATTAGGAATAAAAAATATCGTAAGTAACATGGGAATAAAGGCAGCCAATTTGTTTACGATGATTTTTGTGACACGAGTGGAGGTCTCGAGGCGCCCTCGACCTCCACTCGTGTCACAAAAATCACCGTAAACAAATGGCTGCCTTTATACCCTTGTTGCTTAATATACTATTAAATATACTTGAAAATAAACAAAAATATAATAAATAATTTTGAAAATAGTAAAAAATATTTAAAAATATTCAAAAATAGTAAAAAATGGTAAAATATAATTGAAAATAATAGAAAGTAATGAAAAATAATGGAAAATAATAGAAACTAATGAAAAATAATTGAAAATAGTTCAGAGAAATTATAAATAGTTATAAATTTTATTGAACAGTTGACAATGATCTAAAAGAATTAAAAACGATTAAAATCTAATAAATGTTGAATTTAATTTAACTTAAATGATCGAGTTTTTAAATTCACATAATTTTTCACACTAAATTTCAAATTGAGAGAGAGAAAAGTGAAAATTACCATTCTTAAAATTAAATTTGAGTCAAAAAGAAATTTAAATTTAATGATTCTCACATAAAGGCCCAAATGTTTTCTCGAATTTTTCAACTTTATAAAAGACTGCCAGAATCTCACCAGTGAGTTTCTTCAAATTACATCGTTTCAAAATCGTCTCTCTCATCATAGTAACATTTTTTTTTTATTGACAATTGAAATTAGTGAAAGTTTGAGAATTGAGGGAAAACGACTCTTTCTTTGTTTTGTAAAAAAAAGAAGAAAAAAAGACAGAAATAAAAAGAAATAGAAATCTTTTTTCATTTTATGTTTTCAAGTAAAAAATTTTCATTCAAAACGATGTAATGTGAACTAACTTCTGTACTATCACTTTCCATGACACTTTTTGTACAGTACTGTTTAACTGTAGGAACAATTAGAATAAGTAATGACCTTAAAAAAACTATAAATATAGTTAAAAAATGAAAATATTTATAATTGTGAATTTTTCAGGAAACTGGCAATGTTATTTATTTTATCCTGTTGGCCACTATTGACGAAATAAAAAAAATTTGTAGATTATTTTTAATTCAGTTTATCAATTATAAGTATAAAATTTAATATTTATAAAAACTGATTATAATAGGTAATTTAGTTAATATTTAAGTTATTAAATTAAACAATTTTAGTAAATTCGCAATTTTTTCTGAAAAAAATTTTTTTTTCATATATTTTTCAGAAAACTTTTATCACGAATGTATAAAATTAATGACAAAAATGACAACAAAGAGAATTTCTTGTAAATTTTGATAAATAATATGAGAGATGGTGCCTAGAGAGAGTGAACGAATGTTTGGTTTTTTTTATTTTGAAAGAGGGAGAAAGAATAATAGTAAATATTAGGGGAAAATTATAATAATTACACAGTGCAACACATAAAATGTGCATCTATTTCAGTTTTGCTAGATTAGCTCGGATTTAAATTTTATCAAAATATTAATTTTTTTTTGAATTTTCACATTTTTCAGTTTTCTGATACGGGCGGTTGGGAACACTGGCTATTAAAAGTTTATTAAAGAAATTCACCCTCTTTAATTTCAGACAAAAAAAAATTTGGTCGAAAATTGTTCCTGTTCCGAATTTTTTTTTTACTTTTTTACATTTTTCGGTTTCCTGAAACGGGCGGATGAGAATGCTGGCTATTAAAAGTTTATCAAAAAAATTTGCAATGACCACCATTTGAAGAGCAATAATTCCTCCATAAATTCTGGCATTGAAAAAAAAAGTGTTCGAAAATTCTTCGAGTTATGAATTTTTTTGAACTTTCACAAATTTTTCAGTTTTTCTAATACGAGCAAGTGGAAACGTGCTGGATATTAAAAGTCTTTTTAAAAAAATTCGCAATGGTAATAATGTGAAAAGCAATGATCCCTCTTTAATTTCAGATGATGAAAAAAAATTGGTCAAAAATTGTTCGAGTTATGAATTTTTTTTTTTTTACTTTTTTTGAATTTTCGGTTTTCTGATAAATAAAGTGGGAACACTGACTATTAAAAATTTATAAAAAGAATTCGTAATGGGCACAATTTAAAGAGCAATAATCCCCATTCAATTTCTGACGAAGAAAAAAAATTTGATTCGAAGTATTTGGTTTCGAAAAAAGTCCAAAAAAAATTGATATCACGAATAATTTTCTACCACATTTTTTTTCTTTGTCAGAAATTAAAGAAGGATTATTGCTTTTTAAAATTTTACAATTGCAAATTTTTTTGATAAACTTTTAATAGCTAACGCACAGTGGTTCAGAATTACAATTTAGTGTTCATAATCACCTACAGCCTACAATTTTCGATGAAATTTGACTTTCTTTTTTTTTAATCTTCACCCAAATGCGAAATTCCAAGACTGCAAAAACAGCCCATCATTGGTGCAGTAATGTCTGCCGAGAATTGGCAGTAGTTACTGGGCCATTATTGGTGTCCAAAACGTCCCATTACTGGGCCAATGATGGCGCCGATGGTCACAATTTCAAATTTTTTAAGACTGGGCCAGCTCTCGGCCCAATAATGGCACATTCATGGCAAAGTTTATCAATGTTTAATGGCAAAAGACAATTGCCAGTGATGTGCCGACCATCGGCCCAGTAATGGCTCATTATTGGCACTTTAATGACAAAAAATTTGTATCGTTCATGGCAAATTATAATTACCAGTATTGGGGAGTAGCTTGGCTCAATAACGGCACAATATTGGCAAAGTTGATCAATCTTTAATGGCAAAATTCAATTGCCAGTGATGTCACGAAGATCGGACCATTAATGGCACATTAGTGGCACTTTAATGGCAAACATTTTGTATCTTTGATGGCAAATTATAATTGCCAGTATTGGGGCGTAGCTTGGCCCAATAACGGCACATTCACGGCAAAGTTGATCAATCTTTAATGGCAAAAGACAATTGACAGTAATGTGACGAAGATCGGCCCATTAAAGGTACATTAATGGCATTTTGATTTGGTAAAATTTTTTATAAGAATTTAATTTTAAGAAACATTCAGTTATTCAATAAATTATTTATTTTGTATTTAAATAATTGAATAAGCTCGAAAAGGATTCAAATTAAAATATTTCAAACTTTGAATTTTCTATATTTTTA